TATATAATATCCATGAAAGTAAACGTTAAGCGATTTAATAAAAATTGTTTTATGAACAGAAGTATTATTATTTTATTTAAATAAACGAGTTACAAAAATAACGAATAAGTAATAATAAGATATTTCAAAATATTACAATAAAAATTAAGTATATTACAACGATAATGCTATGCAAACATTTTATTATTGATATAATTACTTTAAGTAAAATATTAAGCTGTTTAAGAATAGAAGACAATAGCATGCCGATAATAGGCAATAGGAAATCATAAAAAAAAATTTAAGATTAGTAATAATTCTTTTATGTCTTTTTAAAGAATTTCGAGTACATGTATCTGCCAATACGGCCGACGATAATTACTTATTTGTGATCATAATCTTATGTCTCTTTTGACAACGTCATTTATCTACGATAAATCGTTGTAATTTGTACAAGAAGAGTGATAAGAAATTATCAACTAATGAATAGAAGTAAAAAAACATAAACAACAATATCATTGTATTTGTCGCGTATTATTCGATATATCGTATTTTTGATTGATAAATTCAATAATTAGCAGTTTAATTGTCGCAGCTATGTACTTGACGATTCTTTTATTGATTTGGTACATAATTGGACCATGACCCAATTTAAACAACCAAATTGTCGCTATGAATATTGATGATCGACGTAACGGTCACCGATTACTTTCTGCACAATAGATAGATTAAAATAGACTATACTGATTTGATTTTTAGTCTAAACGATTAATGTAATAAGTTACTTAATTTATGCTAAATGTAAAGTAATTATAAATGAAGACATTGTAATGATAAAAGCAATTCTCACTATTCAACTTTCTCAATGGGGAAAAAAATGTTTGAAAAAATGTTTTTTTTAAACATTTCTAAAAACGTTAAAAAACATTTTCAAAAACGTTTAAAAACGAAAAAAGTCACCTTTTCATTAAAAAAATGTTTGTTTAATAAAAAATATTTTTTAAATATTTTAAGGAAATGTTTTTTTAATATTAAAAAAGCGCTTTTTTAAGATTTGACATAAATGTTTTTGTAATGATGAAAGTTTAAAATAACAAGAAAAGTTTCCTTCTTTTCATTAAAAAAAACATTTATTCAAACATTTAAAGACATGTTTTTTTAATGTTAAAAAAATGTTTTTTAATGTTAAAATTATATGATCAAAATTAGAAAAAATATGTACAACGCAGAAATCTTTTTTTTAATTTATTATTTTTTATCGCAGTATTTATAAACCTTAGACACCTAATTTTATTAATTAATCGTAATTTTTAATTATATTTTTATCTTTTTTATTTTACCAAGTTTTGAACTTGGGACTTCAGAGTTTCATACCTTATCCGTTACATCACTTATATAATTGTCGATGGATACAATTCTTATTGTCCATAGATGATACACTTAACGCAATTATATTGGATTAACTTCTCTTCCGTGATTATTTTTTTATTCTGACCCGTTTTTTATTAATTTGAATTTTAGAAAATAATGATATTTTTTTAACATTTATATTAAACATTTATATTAAACGATAAACATTAAATAAATGCAAGAGATCCGGGTTCGACTCCCGACCGAGGTAATATTTTTCGCAATGAGTTAATTACAGTTTTTTAAGATTAAATTTGGGGAATTTGGGGGAATTATTAATATTTCAGATTGAAAGTCCAACAATCATATCGGCACTATTCATTTCTGAAATTAATGCATTTATATGAATATATATAATAGTTCAACATCTTAACATTCAGATCGTAGTGGCGCTTCGTATTTAAAGTAATGCATTAAATAAATGTTTTTTAATCATATTTTAAATAAATAAATAACAAACATTTAATAAATATTAAATAAACGTTTAAGAATATTCCTTCGAATCATTATTTCAAATGAAAAATTAATGTAAAACGAACATTTAATCAACATTAAAAAATCTTACTTTAAAAACGAATCATAAAATTCACGAATAAACGTTTAAAAAACATTAATAAATATTAAATAAATGTTATCCTGAAAATGAATTGTAAAATTAATGAAAAATAAACATTTAAAAAACCCGTTTTCTTTCCATTGAAGCATGATTTCAACATGAAATAAATATTTAGAAAATGTTTCTCTAAGCCATTATCTTAAATGAACAATTTTTTGATGTAAAAAACACATTTAATAAACGTTAAATAAGCAATAAAAAATTATTTCTTCAAAATATTATATCAAATGAGTAATTTAATGTAAAATAAATATTTAGTTAACATTAAATAAACGTTAAAAAAATATTTCTTCCAAACAGCACTTCAAATGAATAATTGATGTAAAATTAACGTTAAATAAACATTAAAAAAATGTTTCTTCAGGACATCATTGTCAAACAAAAAATTAGTGTTAAATTAATATTTAATAAATGTAAACATTAAATAAATATTTAATAAATGTTCCTTCGAAACATTCGTCAAACGGAAAATTAATATAAAACAAACATTTATTTAATGTTAAATAAATGTTTAAAAAAATGTTTCATTGAAACATTATTTCAAACAAAAAATTAGTGTAAAATTAACATTTAATAAACATTAAATAAATGTTTAAAAAATTTTATTTTGGAAATGAATCGTAAAATGTAAAATTAATTACAAATAAAAAACGCTTAAAAAATGTTAAATAAATGTTAAATAAATGTTAAATAAATGTTATTTTGAAAATGAATCGTGAAATATGAAATTAATGAATAATAAACATTTAAAAAAACATTTTCTCTCCATTGGGTTGTCAACTTTATCTTGATCTTCTTACGACAGTGTCTATCAGAGGCTCCAATGATGTAATAATTTGTCAGCTTCTTAAATATTTATGTAGTATTACATGTTTCAGATCACCCGGATCAAAACAATGTCGAAGAACAAGAAGAGGTGAGATCGAATTCCTAATTAGGAGATCAGCACTTAAATATTCATGAAACTATATACAGGTCTACACAATTTGTAGTATATTTAATTAAATATTAAATATTAAATATTTAACTGAGTTTTAGATAGATAAATAGATAAGATACAAAAATCACTACAATTATTTGTGTTTCGTAACTTTGTCTAATAATTTTATTTGTCTGGTTTCGGTGCGGTAAGCATCTTTGAAAAATTTACGTGAACATACTTGGATTACGCTTTCGCTCATTGTTACCACGAGGTCAGAAAATTATTATTACCGCGTATTTAAGCATGTATAATGCGTTATATAATTTAATGATAATATGGGGCTCATATACAGGGTGTTTGGAAAATAATGATAAATCTTTCGCATAGGGACAGAATAGATTAAACTGAGAAGAAAAATCATCTACCATTTTGCAATTTTCACAAAGCAAAACAAAATATTAATTGCTAAAAATTGCCGAAAATTAGTCTTCAATAATTTTTTACTCAAATACTACTTTATAGAAAAACTTTATAGAAAAACTGCAATAGAAAATTGTTTATTTTCTTCTTATAAAGCTCTAAGAATTTTTTTTAGAATTTTTTCAGAATTTTTTAATACCGTATTTCCTCAATGTTGATAAAAATGAGAAAATTCAGTACTAAAAAGTACTGTAAGTAAATTCAGTACTAAAAAGTTAATAAAAAATTTTGAAAAAATTCGTAGAGTTCTATGAGAAGAAAATAAACAATTTTCGTCTTTTGCAGTTTTTCTGTAAAGTTTGTAGTATTAAAGTAAAAAAATTATTGAAGACCAATTTTTGGAAATTTTAGCGATTCTATCTTGTTAATTATTGCAAAAATTGCAAAATGGTAGAAGATTTTTTCTTCTCAGTTTAGTCCATTTCCTCTATACGAAAGATCATCGTTTTCATATTATTGTTTTTCCAAACAGCCTGTACGTACGTTAAAATTAATGTTGTTCGACAAGAAGAAAAAAAAAGGGAATGCAAGATTTTGGAATCATTTGACGAAACAATCTTCTCGCATATTTCGATATTGCAAAATTATCAGATAAACGTCCCGCATCGAATTTACATTCACATATCATCGACCACGTTTTTATTGAGCAATTTCTCTCTGTTTTCTTCGTGGTACCTGTCGTCGCAATCCTATTTCGTTTTGCGAAAGATTCTGCAATATATATATTCCAGTTTGAGATGAAAGTTTGCACAAAAATTTCAACGGCAGATTTTATAACAAACTTTATGGATTTTAAATTAAAAAGATCTCGATAGCTTAATGAATTTTTTTTTCACTTTAACAATCACTTTAACAATCGGGATTAAAGTGATTTATTATTTTTGTACAATTATATTTATCTTTCAATATTTATCTCTTGCTAAACAAAAGAAAAGATCAACACAATTAATCGTAACAATTAATCGTAATCATTCTATTACGGATCATTCTACTATAGATAATATATAGATATAAAAGAAATAGTTATACGTGTATATGTGACACGTCATTTTACTGGAAAAAAATTTGACAATTAAATCGACGGATGTGCTGCGGTTCTTTTAATTACACTCATACAGCGCATGTTTTAACACACACTATAAAAATGTATGTACGTTCCTCTGGCTCTTTTCCGCAAATACTCATATTTATATTCATCAACAAAATCAGCAGCATAAGTCATAAAGTTTCCAATATTAATATCGCGACACTTCCTTTGATAGTATAATAAAAAGTTTTGCACGTGATTATTGTTGACGTATATAAATATTTATTAAATCTGAGAAGGTGAATCAATTATTCTTAAAAATCGTGATGTCATATCTTTCTTTTTTTCATATTCTACATTAATTATATTGTATATGTAATGCAATGATGTCTAGCGTCTTTCAGTTTCGCGAGCTCGTAATCTCTCGAGATAAATTCAGCTTAATCGGAAACTGTCACAGCGCGTATCTGAATCACTTGCGAAAATGAACGGCAGGTCGCACGTGGACCTGTATGTGACCACGTACTTTCACATTCAAATACTATATTACATTGTACTGTACGCTCGCATCACGACGTAATGCCAGCCTGTCACCTGTAGTATGCCTGCTTTGAGATATATGTTCGTACATGGTTGTACCTACCTACCTACTTACTCTGGCAACAATATTGTGCTCACTCATGGTCGCTGATGTCAGTCTCGATGTTGAAGCGCGTGCGAACAGAGCCGTTAAAATCGACGACGACAAGTGATTCGTTGTCACTCCTCGATCTGGGCGATCCGGAGTAAACAAATGTTGTAATATATCGGGCAAAACATCCATCTGATGAAGTGAAGTGACCTCGTGGTAGTGATTGATATTGATATACAGCTTCCTTTTTTTTTCTCTCAATTGTGATCAAAATTGTGGTTTATTACGCATATGATGAATAAAATGCCTGTGCATCAGGTAACTGTTAGCATTAATATGTACTTATAATTATTAGTTACTATCACTTTTTGTTGTATGTAAGGTAGGTAGTTAGTAATTTAGCTTACATTAAGCGTATCTTTTTGAAGGACAGAGAGACTAGAAACCGCATTCCCGCTATCTTGAAGGAATACTGAAAAAATATTTCAGAATTTTATAAAATACAATAAATATTGAGAGAAAAGAGATCTTTTTTGCGGATTTTCAAAAACGCATTGCTTTTCGTTTGTTTATCCTTACTTAAAAATACAATACGAATTATATTGTAATCCGACTTCTCAATCCTTTAATAAAAGAATTAGATCAAGTCAGATTGTTTGATCTTCGTAGATACATATATTCAAATTCATATAGAAACTAATGTGAGCTATAATATATTTTGTAAAAACACCTTACTTCATATCCTTTTGTTATACATTTTTACTAATGCTCTGAAAAGAAAAATATGTGCGATAATTTATATAAGCTCAAATTATCACAACAGTGACATGAATAGGTTTGGAGAATAAATCGGTTTTTCAATTGAGAGCTAGTTCACTGATTCACTTCCATTCACGTCAGCATGCCAGACTAATTCCCTTCATCACGGCCGCGACTACTGTACTTTCTCTGAGGCACAAGTTTTTCATCAAATGCATTTCGATCGTCGTGTGACAATCTCAATCCAAACCGTGAGACACCGATTTCCGTATATGACCAACATTAGATATTGCCACATATCTGAAATTAGATAATCCTTTCGAACTCGTTCCTTACATACATATATCATTAAGAAATTAATTGTTTATTGACAAGGCATGCTAAACATTACCGAGATTTAGAACTGATTCGGAGCGATTGTCGGAAGGAAAATATAAATATTGTAGATAATGATATCTCTAATTGCGCGTTTTATCATATTCGTACGTACTACGTAATTAATTATTGCAAAAGAGAACGCATTATCTGAGTTTGTAAATATTCTATGTATTTTTATCGGTTTACATTCGTACAAACTTCCAACAAAGCAATAACATCATAGACCATCTCGGAAACATTAAATCTCTTTATCATTCGAAAATTTTTATTTATATTTTTGCAATATCTAAACGCGATAATAACATATTAAATTTTATTTTAAAATTGTGTTAAACTAATTAAAAACATCTAATTATTATCAAAGTTATGACATACATCCTAGATAACGCAAAATATTTATAAAATATTTACAAAATATTTATTGTAAATTTTGTAATAAATGCTCTGGAAATATTTAATAAAACATTATAATTCAAATAAAAAATATTTAACAGAAATATTTATTTATATTTAGCATAAATATTAAATTAAATATTTAATATATCTTTAATAATATTTCGAATGAAACTTTATATAAAATATGTATAAAATATTTATATAACATTTCAACAAATGTAATTGAATAAAATGAAATTAAACTCGAAAGAATTTCTCAGTGAAATAT